GTTGTTTTCAATTTTTGCTGAATTGGAAGAAAAGGTTTTCAATATTCATTGAAAATAAAATAACAAATAAGCTGTTAAGAAGTTTTAATATTTTAATGTTTGTGAGGACATTTGGGCAAGATGCGTGTAGCCGACCCCAATTAGTTGGGAAAAGGCTTTGATGATGATGATGATCTTCCCATACTTCAAGGACTTTAGATGGTTGTAACTTTACTAAAATATTATAATATTTATACGATAAAATCAAATATATTTGTGGTATATATGTATATATATATATATAAAGAAATGTCATCATACTGTATTAACATTTAGAACCAACTTTTAAATTAAATAGGAGTGTATTGGTTGTTTCAATTTTTGCTGAATTGGAAGAAAAGGTTTTCAATATTCATTGAAAATAAAATAACAAATAAGCTATTGAGAAGTTTTAATATATTTTAATGTTTGTGATGGCATTTGGGCAAGATTCGTATAGCCTACCCCAATTAGTTGGGAAAAGGCTTTGATGATGATGATGATGATGATAACATTTGGGTAGAGTAGTATTACAACCATCTAAAATCCTTGCAGTATGGGGAGGTCACTTCAGTAAAAGTGCCTTTCCATGTGTTGAATGGGGCTCTGTTAGTGAACCCTGTTAATCAGAGGTCTACTGTATGGAGGTTCAAAGGTGAAGGAAATGGAAGTCAAATGTGGTCTCCAATTTGCTTACCACTTCGAGGATGATTCTGAAATTTTCCCATTAAAAAGGATAGTGTGACAGTCTTGTTCAGGGAAAGATTGGCATGCACTTGCCTTCACTGTATCTAGTGGACTTGCAAATTAGTAGTGTGATTTGACAAGTAATAAAAATGTGAAAAAACTTACATCCGCCATTCTTATTCAAATTGAAACATAATGTCGTTAGACTCAAGTACGGCATATTTCAGCTGTTCACTTGTTTTTCATCTTCTTTTTGTAACTGCGTTTGTAGTTGTCGGATTTAAATGATTTAATCACTATTTTCATGTTTCATATTCTGGAGGAAGAGGAAAATTTCATCCAACTTTCACCAATGATGCATCTTGTTTATATCACCAGCCACATAAATGTCACTATGGTGCTTGCCCCCGGTGCCGGCTGATATGTGAGGAACAGCTTCCTTGTGGTCATAATTGTCAACAAAGGTGCGTTATTAGTGAATCTTAATCAAATCTGTGATTTGTCCTGAGTGATTCGGTTAGTTTGATAATTGCATAAATACTTCTATTGTTCATTATAATTTGCTTAAAGTACCAATTTTACATGCATCTTATATTCAGATGCCATGGTCCTGTTCCTGCTCCAAATCCAGAGTTCACTTTAAAGCCAAAGAAAAAGAAATCAATCCAACAAAGCTGTGAAACTCCTGGATCTCCATGCTCTCCCTGTCAAGAAATTGTACTGAGACAATGCCTTGGCCAGCACATTGGAACTGAACAAATGGTTTGTTCCATATTTTTGTTAATGGGTTCTAGCTCATTATTGTATGTAAGCCATTGAGCTCTTATTTAATTTAGTATGTTCGTTGCATCCTTTACAAATTTTCTCTGTTTCACTGTTATATCAGATGGTCTGCTCCAATAGAACTCCATTTTCCTGTTCAAATTTATGTGGGAACCTTCTTCAATGTCGCAATCATTACTGTCAGAAGTCGTGCCATGCCATTATAGACAGGTCCTTGATTTTGGATGGATATGCCATAAGCAATGTCACTCCAGAGTCTTGTGAAGAATGTACTTTACCTTGCCAAAAGGTTGGAGTACTATGACTTTTTAAGCCTGTTCATTTGAAGTCTCAGTGCTGATTGCATCTATTCATTGCTATATATATATATATATTTTTTTTTCAAGACGCAATTAGTTAGGTGATAAAAGTAACTGGAGGATTTTCATTATTTTTCTCACTGGATGTCATTTTGTTTTTGAGCCCCCATTCATCTGTAATTATTTTACTTCTGTTTTTATGTTTCAGGAAAGATCGCCAGCCTGCCCACATCCTTGCCCGTTACCATGTCATGTTAAAAATTGTCCACCTTGTAAAGTTCTTATTAAAAGATCTTGCCACTGTGGTACAATGGTTCATGTTTTTGAATGTGCCCTCTACAACAGCATGTTTGAGGAGGAGCAGCAACAAGCTCGTTCCTGCGGAGGACCATGCCACAGGTCTAGTTCATGCATATCCTATCAAAAAATACATATTTAGGATTTGTGTTCATAATCAGTGGCCTTTGAATGAGTATGAGCTTTTGAAGGGATTGTTATGATTGATAGAAGCCTGTGCTTGAAACAAAATACTGATGGAAGCCTATTGTATTATCTATTATTCAAATTACCGCTATAAAATTCTAAAAAATCTGTCACCCAGATGTAAATTTGTTTGCCAGCTAATAAGATGCAACGAAAGCCAGACGACCTTATAAGAAAAGCTATATTGATGTATGTTTCATCACGTAACATTTGGATTCCACATTCTCAAGTGAAGTCTGATTAACTGATTCTTTTCAGTCCATAATATGCGAGAGATATATTAGATATAACAGCCAAATTAGCACATTTCCTTCTTTGCATGTGAACTTGATTTTTGTATCACGGCATTATGTAGATTTGGATGATATTACCATGTGGAGGATTTGGTTCTCTTCATTTGGAATGGAGTCCAGACAAGAACAGTGAATTATTGGAATCTGGCAACCATTCTTTTTCTTTTATTTTTGATAATTAATTAGGTGTATTCCTGGCAAAGAAGCCCGGGGACTGTGACTTTAAGATATCTGAATGGGCAAATAGCATAGTCTCCCATGTGTCAGCTTAGAAATGGGGCTTCAACTCCGTCGTAGTGATTGAAGGTCTTGTTCTCCTTTAATGGTAGATTGTATCTAGTAAGCTGTTCCTTCACTAAAACAATTGTTTTGCCTTGATTTTATGGGCTCAGGAGCTATGGCTGGTGAGACCTTTTAAAGTTGGGAAGGTGCACCGAGTAGGAAACTGCTGGAGTGAGAGGAACTTCCCATGGTCTTCACCTACAATAACAGGTGGTCTAGATAGATCTGCACACTTATCATAAAAGTTCTTTAGTGTACTATGGTGAGAGTGGTTATGCAATGTTTGGGACCTAATTATGTGAGTGGCATATACAGTTGTCAAAGATCCAGTGCCAAGTAGATGGGTTAGTTGCTTCTATGAATCTATTCTTTATGGTCTGACAGTGCATTCATGGATCATCAAGGCTTGATTTTGTATAAGTGAAACAAGGGAATTATGTCAAATGTGGTTCTAGTGGAACTCGAGAAGGCTTTAGACTAGGTGCAAATAGCAAGTAGTCTGGTGTAGTATGAAAACAGGGAAACCTTAGTAATTGTTTAGCATTCTTTCTTTATTGACCATGCTTTCGAAATGTTGGGCGGTGAAGAAACAACATAGTCGTTTTTATGACTGTAGCTGAGATGAGGATGTTGAGATTGATGAGTGGTAGGACAAAAAATGATAGAAGTCGGAATGAATACATATGAGGGAACTTAAGGGTGGCTCTAATAGGCAATAAGATGAGGGAAAGTCGACTTAGGTGGGCTGATCATGTGCAGCGTAGACTTAATATAGCACCGGTTAAGAGGGGCAATTTGGTTCAAGTGCAAGGCTCTAAAAGGGCAAGGGGAAGTTCTAAAAGGACATGGATGGAAGTAGTGAGAAGGATATGGTAATTTATGGTATGACTGAGGGTATGGCCCTTGACAAAGCAAAATGACGGAACCAGATTTGTGTAGCCGACCCCAAGTAGTTGGGATAAGGCTCGGATGATGATGATGATGATGATATTGATTTATTTGGTTGTGTGGGGTTAGAGTAGGAAGTTCTTTTTGGAGTCTTGGGATTTTGGGAACTTTGTTGTAGTCTTAAATTGGTTTCTTAAGTTGATAAGGATGTTATTTGAGATTTCCTTTCCTTTCATGCAAGTTGTAGTAGCACTTGGAATGCCTAGATATTTCTGGTTTTAACTTATGTGTTTTAGAGCTTAAAATTCTGTAAAAGAAGGTTTTGGTTTGGAAATTCTAACCTCTCTCTCTTGGCTTGTTAAGGTTTGGGGTCTTATAACTTGTGTAGATGATTATTTTTTCTGATATTATTTTTTCATGATTTTTTCCTGTATCTGCTGGGAAGATTATGAATTTGGATATTGAGAAAGAATACGATGAAGTGGTCTGTTGACTTTTGATGAAAATGATAAGGTTCTGAGATTGGTGGGCCTTGTAGGATGTGGGTGGTTCAAATATTTCCTAAATAGTGAATAGACACATAATTTTGATTAATGGAGCATCCTATGTAATTATGGACCAATTGCTTTTATAGTTTTCAAATAAAGGGCTCTACAATATTTGAAAAGCTGTTATGTGGTTGATCCCTTAAGTTATGTCTTTGTGCCTTTTTTTAAATGTGGATCTCCATTTGTTGTTTTACCTCTATGTGCAGAAAGTTGCCAAACTGCACACATCTTTGCCCAGAGACATGCCATCCTGGTAAATGTCCGTCACCAGAGAAGTGTAGTAAGAAGGTACTAATTTTTTGGTCTTTCAATCTCATAAAATGGTTCTCTTTCATTTGGAACACTAATAATTTATTATTATTATTATTGTTATTATTATATTCTTTTTCATTAGCAAGTAATATATTTGTGCTTTGTATCTCCATGTCCTCTATTTTGCCATCCTCTATTTTGCTTCGAGAAGTACTTCCCCTGATAGAGGACGTCCACTGCCATAGGGGTGTGGGGTACTTGTTCTTGACGGTGACAATGTATATCTTCTTTAAAATTTTGATCTATGTTTCTAATTTTCCAAGTCAACATTTTGTAAGTTGGCAATTGTTTTATGTCTTATGCCTATGGTCTTGGTGAAGGCGTAAAATTAACTTAGCATATATGCAATTGTTTTTTGTTCCTATTGTGATAGTTTACTTCATCACTATATCACAAAGTTCCTTTGTTTATATCTTTTCATCGTCCAGTGTCTCTTTGGGATCAAGGCTTCTGGTATGAACACTGGGCTTATGGGGCTTCCAGGTTGGGCTGCCATAAAAAAATCTAGGTCCCTTAAGGTTTCCATGACATTGCCTATATGCTTCTGTCACTTAGGAGCATAGTTGCATGGAGCTGGAGTTGAAGCGGGGGTGGGACTGGGAGTGAGAGTGATGAATCGACACATGCAGGAACCTTAGGTTGGGAGTGCATTCAACACATTTTTTAATTAATAGATAAAGGAAAAAGTTTATATGCAGGCTTGCCCAATCACCAGTGTCCAACTTTTTTGATGGTGGCGATTGAGATTATCTTTAGAAGACCAGAATTCTATTAAAAAATTTTAGAAGATCTGATAATCCCACAAAATAACATGAAAAATGTGTCCCACAAAATACAAAAAAACAATGGGCGCACAAAAAATGGGAAATAAAAAAGTGAATCTTTATTATTTAAATTTTATTTAATTAATGAATTATATTTTTATATTCTCTTGAAGTGTGGTTTACGTAACTATAAGCCCACAAAGTACCATAAGAAAACATTGTGATGAGGCACATCGGGATAACTGATAACTATCAAGGGAGCTGATTTTGCTTTCTTTACAATTTCACACTTTACAATATCCAAAAGCATATCAGGCTGCCTTGTTTGCAATTTGCACTTTACAACATACGAAAAGCATTAGAGACGAAGTATGATTGTAACTAAGATCCGAATGAAGTATCTTCTTGGCCTCTTATTGCTCTTTAAAGTGACTAGGAGAAATCTCTAAAAAGCGGGGATCAAGATCCCAAATAGAGGGGATTGAGATCCCAATCTGGGAACATTGGAGTAACATCCCAGAGCAGGATCGAGATCAACACGTAGGTTGGAAGTTCCCAGTAACTATGCTTAGGAAGTCTTATAAATAGCACATTGTGGCTATTTGGATTGAAAGAAGTGATAGATGCTTTTATGACATAGCATGCAATAAGGGATAAAGATGATTAAATGCCCCTGATTGCCTCGTGGATGAAAATACTCAAAGAAGTTGGAGACTACTGCATGGATGACTTTCAGAATCAGTGGTTTATGAATGCGAGGGCCAAAGCAAGGAAACACAAGGTCGATGGAAAGTGGAAGCCTCACCCCCAGACGCCACGAAGTTAAGCCTTTGATGGGATCTCGAGGGGTAATTGTGGACCTGCTGGGATTGGACGTTTAGAGATTACCACAGTAAGATACATATCTTACTCAGGCCCCTAGCCAGTGCGTGAGTCCACTCAGCCTGAGGTGAGTTCCCTCCTTGCTGACCTCAAGTGCAAATATCCTAAGTGGAAGGAGATAATTATTGAGGTGAACTCGGTGATTGTCATTGCATGGGCTAAGGGAAAAGAGGTTGCCTTTGGAAACTATGGCAGGTATTTAATGAAAATTTTGACTTAACCAGAACCTTATAGGTCTCCTTTTGCCATTTGATGAGGGAGAACTATGAGTTTGAGGACTAACTAGCTGGAGAACGGGTCTCAAGACAGCATAGATGCCAATTATGTTGATATATAGATGATGTAGAACACATTTTTGAGCAGGATTTATACTTACAATTTTTGCTTATTGAAATTAATTACCAAAAAAAATGGGCAGATTTAATCTGAGTGAAAGCTGGACTGAAACATTATGTTTCACTTTGATATCATAGAGTTTTCTATTATGCACCCGGTCATCTCAATGTATGTGACCTCTCTATGGGTATTACTGCCTCTGCTTATCTCTAAGACTCTTGGAAATTAGTTCCCCTATTCAAGGCTATTTTATTCTTGCTTCCAGCTAATTATTGTGGATTATGTCATTCTTCTTTCCAAGGTCACTGTTCGCTGTGTATGCCTGCATCTGAAAAAGCAATGGCTTTGTCACGACGTGCAAGCTGCCTGTTGCAATTCCAAACATGATATGAGAGAAATCTCTAGGAGCCAGTTTGGAATTGGACTTCTCCCCTGCACCTCAGAGTGTGATATTGCGTGTAAAAAGAAGACTACAAATCCAGAGGTGCATCAACGTAAAATAACCATGATGGAGGTAATAACTATTAGCTTTAGCTGATTCCCATGTCTTTATCATCACAGTATTGAGAACATTGTGTAGTTTGGGTTTCTGCATACTGAATTGAAATTTTATATTACTTGTTCACATGTACCATCCCATTGATTTCTGTGCCTTACTCTTAACACTATGTAAGAATACTAAGCATTAAAACTGGATCTTAGGGTTACAATCTGACAATTTGTCAAAGAAATTTATATCGCTTATAAGATTCATTGGCTGCCAATGTTCATCATCTTGTCAAAGTTATTAAGGAATTTTAGTACTCACAAGGAAAAAAAATAGAGATGAATTGATTCCTATTGGGAAGACTAATCAAAAGATTGGACCATACATTTCGGTTAAGATTGAGAGAGGAGAGAGAGAGTAATATCCAAGCACCAAGCACAAGATAAAAACATATAGATGTCCTTTTCGCTCTTTACAAATCGTGAGGCAATTTGTTCTACATATATACAGGTCCCTATGGGAGTTACAATATCCCATTATGTATGACTATTACATGATTGTTACAGCAAGAAAGTCACCCAAATATGGTTGGATATTATACACCTTTTCACCATGTAGGTTTCTATAATGGGCATGAGGCGCATAATAATTATTTCAAGTCTTTAATGGGTGTGGGGCCCATAACAATTGCTACTCTCCCCCCTCAAGATGGAGCATATATATCATAGATACCCAGCTTGTCTAAAGTATCCTTTAGCTGAACTCAATTAGAGGCCTTGGTAAGTATGTCTGCCAATTGATTCTTAGATTGAAATGGTGTACATATTGTCTTTGAAGGGACCTTTTTTTTTGTTATGAAGTGACAGTCAAGTTCAATATGCTTGGTTCCTTCATGACATACAGGTTTTGAAGCAATATAAATTGCTGCTTGATTATCACAATTTAGAGGAATATGAGCTGATACATTAACACCCATCTCTTGAAGAAGAGAATGGATCCAAATTACTTCACATGTAGCACTTTCCATTGCTCAATACTCAACTTCAGATGAAGATTGAGCTACGACTCTCTGCTTCTTCTTCTTCTAGGTTGACTAAATAACCACTCACTGTCATGAAGTAGCCACTGGTGGATTGTTGATCAGGAGAACATTTAGCCCAATCTTACATCATAGAAACCTTGTACCTCAAGGTGACCATGATTGGTATAAAGTAGCCTCTCCTTGGAGCAGATTTCAAATATCGTAAAATTCGATAAACAACCTCCACATGATGGGAGCATGATGCGTGTATAAGTTGACTTGCCATGCTTACGGCATATGCAATGTCTGGCCATGTAATGGTCAAATAAATAAGTCTATCTACTAATCTCTGATGTACACCTGGGTTACTCAAAGGCTTTTACTACTGGTCATATAATTTGTGGTTAACCTCTATGGGAGATTCTGATGGTTTGGCTCCAAACATTCATGTGTCATTGAGGAGATCAAGAGTATACTTTCTTGGAGACCAAAAAAATTCATCGTTTAGACCTAACCACCTTTATTCCAAGTATTTCAATGGACCAAGATCCTTGATGTCAAAAATACCAAGAAATCTTTCACTTTATGAATATCATGATCATTATTTCATGTGAGCATTATATCATCCACATAAACTATCAATATTGTGGCAGAACAAGAATCTCTTTTAACAAATACAGAATGATCTGAAACACTTCCCCGGAATCCAAATTGACATATTGCCATATTAAATTTTTTGAATCAAGTCTGAGGTGATTGTTTCAGACCATATATAACTTTTTGTCAATTTATAGACCTTCAATTTCTCCCCATGAGAATAAAACCCAGGTGGTAATTCCATATACACTTCCTTTTGCAGATCTCCATTAAGAAAGGCATTTGTCACATCTAATTGGTGGAGTGACTCTTTCATGTTTACTACAATAGATAAAAGTAGTCGTACTGATTTCAATTTTGCTATAGGAGCAAAATTATAGTCACCCCCATATATCTAAGTAAACCCATAGTCACCTGAATCTCTCACTGAAGGTCGTAGTTCCAATTCTGAGCATTAGATTATCAAAGAAGGTTTAGGATTCATGTGAGATTTGACAAAGTTTTACGTTGGCTGCTGACCTAACACAACCCAGCCCCTTTACATGGGCATTGGATGGGTTAATGGAAAGTTTAAGGTTCTCACCCTTCTTTGACCATATCTGAGAGTTACTAAATAAGGTAACATCGTTTTTCTTTTATCTTACGGACATTAACACTTGTATCCTTTCTGAGAGTTCAAATATCTTAGGAACACATATCTAGTAGATTGAGTCCCTTGTTTACTCCTAGTTGGCCCAAGAGTATGCACAAAGCAGACACAATCAAAGGTTTTTGGTGGAAGAAGAAATAGAGGAAGTGCATGGTGGATAAGTTTGAAAGGATAAGCACCATTAGAACAAGTGTAGACATTTTATTGATCATATAGGCAGCAGTAATAATTGCTTCATCTCAATATGTCTTAGGAACCTTCATGCTATTCAAATGCCTCTCATTTCTTCTAACAAGTGTCTATTTTTCCCTATTGTTACACCATTCTATTGTTGTATATAGGATTGCAATGTTTGAGTTTCTATACCATGTTCAAGAAAATAACTTTTTAATCGTTGTATAAATACTCTTGTGAATTATCAAATGAAAAATTTATATTTGGGTCTCAAACTAGGTAGGAACCATGTTATAAAATATTTTAACAACTGAAGGTACTTCATCTCTACTTCTCATAAGATAGATCCAAGTATAATGAGAGTAGTCATCGATGAATGAAATAAAATACCAATATCCACATACAGAAATAATTGGAGGCGGCCCCCGAACATCTGAATGAACGATATGGAATGACTTGGAACTTTTATTTTCATTAGAAAAGAAAGAGGTTCTACAATGTTTAGATTATTGACAAGTCTCACATTGTAACTAAGGAACATTCAAAGAAGCAAACTTATCTGGAAACAATAATTTTAAAGATTTTAGAGACACATGGCCTAAGCGGGTGTGCCACAAGAGGACTTGCTTATGACTTTGAGGCTCAGAGCTGAGAGCGGTAGAAGTGCATCCTTTGTTGAACATGGGCAACCCATTGTCTTCATGACCACCACCAATCGTCTTCCTCGTTTTTAGGTCTTGAAAAATACAATGTGGGGTAGAATGTGACACTGCAATTTAGTTGTTTTGTCAGGCTGCTAAGAGAAAGAAGATTGTAAGGAAAAGAAGGCACATGTATTACAGAGGGTAAGGACAAGGATGATAAAAGTTTATATGTGGCACTCCAAGAGGCACTGGGCATGCATCCTTAGCAAGTTTAACTTTACTAAAAGCATGATAAAAGGACAATGAACTAACTTTCTTACCAGTCACGTGGTCAATGGCCCTTGAATCAATGATCCAAGGGGTAGAAGAGGTGGAGTTGGAGGCATGGTTTGCAGTTGCATATGTACCTAATTACTCTGCCTGTGTCTTAGGTCTGAGTGAAACCTTGAGAGTAGTCAACTAGTGTCGTAAATCTTTAATGGCCTGATCTCTTGGATTGGATACATTGGGTTGTGTGGTTGAGGTTTCCACCCACACGCTTGATACAGTATGGGCACTTACATTCCTTGGTTTTTTTCTTAAGTGAGGATGCAGGTCCCAACAGTGCTCTCCGGTGTGTCTCCTCTTACCACAGTGGGAGCATTTGAGTTTCTCCTTTTCAGCAGGAGAAAGTGGGGTACGATAGGTCCTTTCATACCCACTTTACCTTGCTTGAAGCTTGTTGCAAAGGATGATCATTCAGGATACTTGAGCTTTTGTCCTTCGGCAATAGCCTTTCTAGTAGTCTCCCCTCTTACATAATTATAGACTGATACAAGAGAGAGCAATTTGTGCTATCGTAGAACTTGTACTCTTTGAAGTTCAAAGTAGGATGTAGTCCTGCTGAGAACTCAAAGATCCTTTACTGCTCAACTTGTTTTTTAAATGTCATCAACAACGGGATTAATAGGCTGATAGTGGTTAGTTCTTCCAACTTATTCTTTAGTATCCAAAGTTCTCTTCTATAATCATTTCTCCTTGCTGCAAATTCACAATTTTACAATGCAATTGGTAAATTGTAGCCATATCATCTTGTTGTGAGAATGCTTGGCTATTGCCTCCTAGATATCTTTTGTAGTCTTAAGAAACAACAGCTCCCTGCTGAGATTTGGCTGTATGGAATGAAGGAGTCATGCTATTATTGTCAATTTCTCACTTTCCCTTTTATCATAAGATGGACCATTTGTAAGGGGCTATTTCACTTTTACTGTGATATGACCCGATTTTCACTGGCTTCTTATGGGACCATTCTTAGTTTGTCCCATCTAGCTTAACTTTAGTGGTCATCAATCTTGGATGGTCAGATTGACGGCTTCCCAAGGAAATATTGTGCTTGATTTCTGACATTTTCCTTCTCTTGAACTGGAAACACTGATGCTTTTTTTTTTCAAGGTACTTATTCCTTAGTTTCAAATGTGACATTAAAAATTTAAGGTTGTTGGAAATATGAGGTTGCTAGAATTATGAGGTTGCTGAAAAAGAAAGGAGCTTAGGATAAAAACTTATCGGTATAAGGAATGCGAGGTGATTTTGCTGGAAATATGAGATTGCTGATACACCACAACTTCAAGTCTAAGAAGGAAGAAAAATTATGACTGTAGGGTCACCGGAAGTAGTGGATACCCTTGGGTTTTAAAGCTCGCTCTGATACTATGTTAAGATTGAGAGAGAAGAGAGAGAAAGTAATGTTCAAGCACATGATAAAAAAAATATAGATGTCTTTTTCACTCTATACCAGTCATGGGGCAATGTGCCATATATATACACAGATTCCTATGAGAGTTACAATACAGATAGATCAACATGCATAAGAGTCACAACCATTATGCATGATTGTTACCCAATTTGCGTGATGGTTACAGTAAGAAAATCATCCAAATATGGTAGGATATTGTACACATTATCACCACATGTAGGTTTCCATAATGGGCATGAGGCCCATAATAATTATTTCAGGTTTCTTTAAGGAAAATTATACAACGAGACCATTTTCTTTTAGTATGAGGAGGTCACAATCGTTCTTATCAGTCAGATTTCAAATTGTGTGGCTGAGTATGTCTTTGACTAAACTCAAAGTCCAAAGAAATTTTTATTGAACTTCGTGACACACCTAAGCCATTGAATTTGAAATCTAACGGCTAGGAGTAATTGTTGCATTCTTGTAATAAAGATTATGGTCTCAATAGTATACAATCCCTTTCTTTCATTTGTGTGGGGCCCGTAGTAGTAACTACAGTTTCTATTAATAGAAACTCAATATAGAAATTTCTATAAGACAATGTGAATGCGGAATATGGTCTATAGGGCTATTGTGCAGATAGGTGCTTTTAATGAAAAGCAAATCAGCACCTCAAATGTGGTAACTGGTTGTTTGTGGCTACATATGTTAATCAGTTACATCATTACATGTTGCAATCTGCATAATCATATTTCCCAATAAAATCAGAGTCCTAAGATATTACTCACTCTGAATGTGAATGTGATGAACCTGACGCACATTGCGTGTTCTTGTCTTCGATTTTATTTACATGTCGATCTATGCATAGGCCTCCCCATATATCTGGGGTTAGATGAAACATCTTTTGTTCTGTGCTAAAGTGGAGCCCTTTGTGGCTGTCATTGTGTTTGCATTAGAACTATCTTCTTCTAAATAACTTTCCTTCTTGGGGTTAGTTTAAAGGGAAAAGTTTATATAAGGTTGCAACCTTAAAATGTAGAATCACAGATGCACCTCAAAAATCTATGGGAAATGTTGTTTTAATGTTGAGAAAACCCTCTAATTGATCATCTCGACATCAAGATGCATGAATATGAGAAAAAAAAGTTTTTGAGTCCCGAAAATGGTGTATCTTGCAACACATTACCTAGACCGTCCAGTTTCAAGA